AGCCTGGGTAACAAGAGCGAAACTCCGTCTCAAAAAAAAAAAAAAAAAAAAAAAAAAAAAAAAATACAAGCTTATTTTCTGCAGACATGAGGTTCAAAAGGATATTCTATATCAACAGGTCACCCTTTCTTCCAGCTGTGGTTCTGGAACCGAGATGCCCTCTGTCTTTGTGACTTGGCTATCCTAAATGTGGTTTCCACATTTGCCCTACAAGGACAAAGAACATGGGGAAATCCTTTATGGAAAGTTGTTATGCCCCAGGCCTGGAAACGTCAATCCATTTTTACTTATGTTCTATTGACAGGAACTTAGCTAAAAGGCTACACCTAACTAGAAGTTGAAAAATGAAGTTTCAATGTGGGCCCAAAGGAAGAAAAAGGTTAAATTAACGACCAGAATAAATAAGAGAAAACACATATGAATTTATTAACATGTACACTGCGGAGGGAGCTTGACAGTGATCACCCAATATTGCAATAGTGTACAGATGTTTATCTTCCCTACTTCCTGGGGAAATGGGACCTTGAGAAGTGTTTTTACGTGTATAGTAAATGATTTTTAGGGGAATTCAATGGGCTTGAAGAACATGAAAAGGTCTGGGACAATGTCTGTTAGGACTGTAAAGTAGGCAGTGGTTTGTGACAAAAGTCTATCTAGGTTTGTTGACAGGCTTGTGTTTCTTCTTACGATATGAGTTCATTTAATGAAAACTCAGGGTAGAGACTAAAGATAATTGTATTGTTTGGCAGGCTTGGACTTTAGGCAGATAAGGAACTTCTGAAAATATCCTCATTCTTTGTTTTGAGAGACACAGAGGACTGAGAGATGGGAGAGGTGGGGAGAAAATCGGAGACCTTCTTCATTTAGCTAGTTTCTTCAGTTCAGCATGTAAAGTGCCATATTTTGGAGTATCGGTTTCTGAGCCACAACAGTATCACGTATCTGTGATTTTAGATATCCTATTTTTTCATTATTTTTTCACCCATGGACCCATGTCACAGAAATATCCTCTCTTGTTCTAAATCTATTTCCAGAAAACCTGCTTATCTTCTAAAGTTGCTATGTAGAAGCCCCAGTTTTGTTCTTGATGATGGTAGAAAGAACAGTGAAGTAGAAGTCGGAGTTCTGTTAGACCCAACTCTAAATAAGCTTGAGCAATCACCTCATCATTATAAAAATTAATTTATTGTTTCTATTTTATAAATGAGGAAACAAGTTGAATGGTCTGCATAATACCTAAAATCATCCAGCTAATAAATGATGTAACAAATGTCAACCCAGAAGTGAGTCTCCAAACTACTAATGTTAAGCGTATTCCATTGCTGTGCTATACTTTGTGAAAATAAATAAAATTTGATGTGATAGTGCATTCCCGTAGCCTGTCCTACTCTGGAAGCTGAGATAGGAGAGTTATTAGAGCCATCAACTGGAAGCTGCAGTGAGCTATGACTGTGTCACTGTACTCCAGCCTGTGTGACAAAACTTGACTTCCTCTGTTTAATAAAAGGAAAACAGCTGTTGGAATTCCCAAAACACATTGAGCTTGAGAGAGATGTGGTAACTTGAGTTCTCTTTTTCCTTATTCTACAATGTGTAGAATTAAACAACATCAGGGACTAAAGTCTCCTGCCTTAATTAATGGCCCTTGTTAAAGATGAACTGCCCTTTGTTGTCCTGCTTTGTGTAGAAGAGGTAAAATGTACCCTTCCTCGAAAGAAAGTCTATAACCAATCAAATTGCTATAACTATGTGCCAACTTGGCATGAAAAATGTTGTAATCTTGCTAAAAGCTCTTCTCACTGCCTACATCAAATCTGAACTTCCCTATTTCAAAATGGTATCTATTACTTTGTAGTTTCCAGGTGGTCCATCCTTAAACTTTCTGCTTGAATAAATTCTTTATATTCTTCAGTATGCAAGAAGGGCTTAAACAAAAACAATAAAAATAAATTCTGACCCTTTGGGTTATTTTTGTTTGATAAGTTGTATACATTGTTTTCTAGGTAATAAGGACAATTTGTCATTCACCTTTGTGGTTTGATTCAGGTACGATGGGCATTTCAGATGTGGAAGGCTTTGAGGAACAAGGCTGAGTATCTTGAAATGAGAAAGCTGAGCTTTTTAAAGGAAAAGGCGGCTGGATAGTGGCTCACACCTGTAATCCCAGCATTTTGGGAGGTTGAGGTGGGTGGATCACCTGGGGTCAGCAGTTGGAGACCAGCCTGACCAACATGGAAAAATCTTACCTCTACTAAAAATATCGTGGTGGGACATGCCTGTAATTCCAACTACTCAGGAGGCTGAGGCAGAAAATTGCTTGAAGCCTTGAGGCAGAGGTTGCAATGAGCACACATCATGCCATTGCACACTGCACTCCAGCATGGGCAACAAGAGTGAAACTCCTTCTTATAATAAAGCAAAAGGCACGGTTGAATCTTCTTGGGTGGGGGGCAGGGGGAGTCAGTGCATAAAGAACATTGACTCCAATAGGTGTGTCTTCAAGTGAGTTGCAAGATAGAGGACAGGACTAAGCCAGGTAGAATGGGAGCGTCTATACCAGATTGCGGAAACTGGAATGGGTATTTAAAACAGCATAGCTGGCCATGAGCGGTGGCTCATGCCTGTAATCCCAGCACTTCGGAAGGCCGAGGAGGGACGATTACCTGAGGTCAGGAGATTGAGATCAGCAGGACCAACATGGAGAAATCCCATCTCTACTAAAAATACAAAATTCCCCGGGCATGGTGGTGCATACTTGTAATCCCAGCTACTCTGGAGTCTGAGGCAGGAGAATCACTTGAACCCGGGAGGTGGAGGCTGTGGTGAGCCAAGATATGCTATTGTACTCCACTCTGGGTAACAAGAGCGAAATTCCGTCTCAAAAAAAGGAAAAAACAAAGGCATTGAGCGGCACAGTAGCTCACACCTGTAATCCTAGCACTTAGGGAGGCCAAGGCAGATGGATCACTTGAGCCCAGGAATTTGAGACCAGCCTGGGCAACGAGGCAAAACAACGTCTCTACAAAAAATACTTAAAAATTTGCCAGGCATTTTGGTGTGTGTCCCTGTAGTCCTAGCTACTTGGGAGGATCACCTGAGTCCAGGGATGTCGAGGCTGAGTACAGTGGGCTGTGCTCACGCTACTGTACTCAGAGTGTGACAGCGTGAGACCATGTCTCAGAAAACAAAGAACAAAGTGCCACTGGACTTCAAACTCAGCCTAATCTCATTCACCATAGGCATTCAGTCTGAACATGTAGCCCTGACTTCACTTTTCAAGGTATTTTTGTGATTTCCCAAGCCCTTTGCTGATTGCAAACAGCAACACTTGAAGTCAGTGCTGTCCAGTCATCTTAAAATGAACATCTGATTCTAGAGTAGTATGAAAATTCCTCACTGAAGCAATTCTTTCCAATGTTTCCTTTTTTGTGTGTGTGTGTGTGAGACATGGTCTCTCTGTCACCCAGGCTGGAGTGCCATGGTGCAATCTTGGCTCACTACAGCTGCCACTTCCCTGGTTCAAGTGACTCTCCTGCTTCAGCTTTCCAAGTAGCTGGCATAACTGGTGTGTGCTATTATGTCCAGCCACTTTTTGTATTTTTAGTATAGATGGGGTTTCACCATGTAGGCCAAGGCTGGTCTCAATGTCTTGACAGGTGATCCTCCTGCCTTGGCCTCCCATAGTGCTGGGATTACAGGCGTGAGCCACTGCAATGGTCTTCCCTTTCTTCAGGATTAAATGTAAATGTCATAGCTGGAGCTGGAACAGGCATATGTTGAGAAAGACAAAATCACAATGTTATATGGAAAAGTAATGCCATAACCTCCAAATACACTACCAGGCAGGCTGTTCCAGAGGCTTTGAAGAGTCTCACGTAAGTTGCCTGAGCTCCATGGCTTAATTTTATTGAATCAAGTTGAAATATAGCAAGAAACAAGGGGGAAAGCTTTGGCAAGTGGACACATTTCAGATAGGTTGTAAATGAGTCTCATTGCCTGAATCCTTGGTGATGCATGTCCTATGTGTGAGGCTTCTCCCTCCCCCTCGCTGACAGGGTGATTTTGAGAAAGAGTTCATGAGCAAAGGAGTCAGCAGATGCATTATGTGGAGCCAACACAGGCTTGCTCCATTAGTATACAGCCACCTATATTGCTCTAGTGACAGTGAGCAGCCATGCCTTTCATATGCAGATTGTCTATTGAGGGCCAATGAAACAGCTAAAATGGGTGTTAGCAGTGGGCAGTTCATTTATGATCTCATATTGAGCACTTTATGAATATGTGGTGCCTCACAAATGTTTGGCAGGTTTGTTTCTTTCATCTTTGTCTCTGAGTAGTGCAGCACACACAAGCCCTACTTTCTCTATGCCTAACATGTCTCAAAGGCTACTCATTTATGATTGAGTATAAATATAGGTGTTGAATTTTGTCTACATCTTGCAAACTTCTTGTGTAGGTAATACTTAACACGTCTTACAAATTTGATCTGTCCCATTTGTTGGGTAGGTCCTCCATAGCAGAGTATGTTTGAGAATATTTCAAATAATAAGACAAACACACACACGTTTTATATATGTGTGTGTGTATGTGTATGTAGAGAAAAATTTTCCAAGGATATTAGAACTCCCATGTCTTGAGCTGTATTAGCTTTGTGTGACGGAGAAGTAGATTTGCATTAACTAGTAACTATTTTGTTAGTTCCAGAGGTATCAAATACTAAGTCATACAGGTAAACATTTAAAAATCTTTTATTAAATTATTTGCATAAATAACATACAATATTTGCTGTCTTATATTACTTGCTACATTTCAGTGCGGTTGTACATTTTAGTAAAGCACTTCTATGAAATCCTTATCAACCAGTGATGAAACATGGCTAGATAGGAATATAAATGAGTAGCCTCTATTTTTAATTGTAGTGCCATCAATACAGACTTGAACTCTGTTCTCTTCGTTCCTCTCTCATGGCTCTCTCTCTACTCCTCCTCCTTGGCCCCTAGGGAAGAGGCAAGAAGGTCTAGTTTTGAAATCCATGCTGCTGGCTCCTTCCTCTTCTACTATCTCTTATCTCTGTTGCTCCACCCTCCCTCCAGAACTACCTTCTGGAACTTGCAAGGTTTTCAGGGTAGGTTAATTCAGTTTTCGGGAATTTAAATTCAGTCCCCTTAAAAGCCAATTAAAAGAAAAAAAAAATGACCTTCATACTTATGCTTCTTTCTTTTTTTTTTTGAGATTAAGTTTCCCTCTTGTTGCCCAAGCTAAAGTGCAATGGTGTAATCTCAGCTCACGACAACTTCCACCTCCTGGGTTGTTCAAGCAATTCTTCTGCCTCAGCTTCCCCAGTAGCTGGGATTACAGGCACTTGTCACCACGCCATGCTAATAGAGACGGGGTTTTTCCATGTTGGTCAGGCTGGTGTTGAACTCCTAACCTCAGGTGATCTGCCCGCCTTGGTCTCCCAAAGTGTTGGGATTACAGGCGTGAGCCAGCGTGTCTGCCCTATGCTTCCTTTAGTTTTTGAGTTTGTCTAAATATCCACTTTAGATTTCAATCCAGGTAAAGGACAGGGAACACTTCTATCTTTCTGACTGCCTCTTTCCTAAATATTTTCCATAATTTAATAGGTTCTCAATAAATGAATAAACTCAAAATACTAGTCCATCCACCAGATACTTTTAGGGAAAAATTTTTAGGCACATCTCAAATCTAAGATCTTAAAATACTCTTCCCTTAGCTCCTGCTACTGCCACAAGAGAAATGCCTACGGGGGTGGAGGAAGGTAGGAGTTCCAGCCTGTATCACCGCACTATTACAATTGGTAATCTCAGTATTTAAAAAATCCACGGCAGAAATTGTACACATTATTTTTAGTGATTCCTGTTAGCCTTTTTAAGTTAAGACGGCCTGGGCCTGGCTTCTATAGTGACTGCCAACCGTTATCTAAAAACAAAGACACGTTGTTGCCGGGTCCTTGGTTTTCTATACTCTTTGCTCAACTGTTTTACAAATCTACGTTTTTTTAATGACACCTAAAACCCCACATATTACTTGCAGAGTAACTGCAGGTTTATTCCATGGTATTTTTTCCATACCCATAAAGAATGTCTCCTAGTCACCGTCTATTAAGAAATTGAAATTTTTAGGGCTGGTCGTTGACACTGAACTGCTTGAACCGGGGAGGAAGAGGTTTCAGTAAGCCAAGATTACACCGCTGTACTCCAGCCTGGCCCACAGACAAGATTCCATTTTCTACAAACTTTGAAATTTCTTTCAGGTAGTTGGTAAACTACTGTATTCCAGTTGACATTAACCTCCCTGAGACTCCTACAAATATCACATTATGCTATCTAGTATGGGTTAACCATTAAAGGCTCTCATTGTAGTTTCAACTTACTGTTAATATTCAAATTGACCAGCTCCAGCTTGGTAAAAGTGCTTCCTGGAATTCACTGCATCTTAAACTGCACTCATTTTTTAGTTCCCAAAGAAGAATGTCCACTTTTCTTGTGTCAAATTATCTGCCTCAGTAACACAAGGTAAGGCCAAAGTGGGAAACATTGCCTGAGCTTGAGTAACAGCCTGGGATAATACAGTTTAAGACACCACCTTTATAAGGACAAATAAGCCCTAAAAACTAAGGGTCGGAAGAACAGGATGAATACAGCAGCACCCAGCATTACAATTCCTAATTGAGATGGTTAAGTGGCTCTGAAAAGTCTTCGGATTTCAACATGCTTACATTCACTTGGAGCTGGTGTACTTGGTGACGGCCTTGGTGCCCTCGGACACCGCGTGCTTGGCCAGCTCCCCGGGCAGCAGCAGGCGCACGGCCATCGGGATCTCCCTGGAGGTGATGGTCGAGCGCTTGTTGTAATGCGCCAGGCGGGAAGCCTCGCCCGCCATGTGCTCAAAGTTGTTGTTGAGGAAGGAGTTCATGATGCCCATGGCATTGAAGGAGATGCCGGTGTCGGCGTGCAACTGCTTCAGCACCTTGTACACGTACACGGAGTAGCTCTCCTTACAGCAGCGCTTCTGCTTCTTGCTGTCCTTCTGCGCGTTGGTCACCGCCTTCTTGGAGTCCTTCTTCAGGGTGGAAACGGAGTTAGCTGGCTCAGGTATCACAGAAAGCTAAAGGAACAAAGAACAGACCCAAGAATGAATCACTTCAACACCATAGCTTGCTATTTTTGTAGGCCTTCTATGCAAATAGGTGCTTAATCCTTCCTAGTCCCTGATTGGACCAAATCAGCCAATAAAAAAGTTAAGTTCAACTCTACTTTTTGATTGGATATCTATCCGAAACCTACCCTAAATTCTTTTCTATACCGTTGGGGACATAAAGTGTAGTTTTTCATTCAAAACCTTAAGAAAAAAATGCCTTTCCAGTATCATCTAGCTATAAGTCCTGTCTCCTTAGTGCGAATCTAAACAGAAACAAAGACGGATATTATGTTTCTAGTTTCCTACCCAATTGCAGGTTCCAGATTTAAATTAAGAATAAATAATTCTAAAATAGAAATCAGCTAAATATTTACATGTTTCCAGAATTGTATCATTGGCATTCTTCTGTAATGTGATCAAGGTCGTCAGCATTCTTAGATTAAAAATTTAAGCTTTTTCAGGAGTCATAGGATGAACACATGAGCCATGGGATTTTCATGTCCCCTAGGAATGGAGTGTCTGGAAGTGAAACCAGTGTTTGTTGGAAGGCTCAGATTATATAAAATAGGGTACATATGTTGAAAATATTTCTTAAAAGTAAGAATTTTAAACGAAATATTAAAAGACAAATTGAGCTGGACCAATCACGTTCAAACGCGGAGTTTTTGAAATCTCTCCAGAACTACAGAACGTTCACTTAAGTCTCTAAAACATAATCCCAACTTGATTAAAATAAAATCAATGAATGTATGTAATACCGGTAAGCACATAAAACATAATAAAAGGCAAGGAACGAGAAGAAAGAAACCAAACACATTTCCGTAGGTTAAGATTTTAAAAATGAGACCTGTTAGCCAATCACAAGTCCTATCACATTACACGAGTCAGGGCGCGAAATTGGAAGAATCGGACCAATCAGAAGGACTTTGCCTTTATAAATAGGAGTCGGACCAGCTGTTTTTTCGGTCGCCACCATTTCCCGAAACCCCTTGTCATGGCTCGTACGAAGCAAACAGCTCGTAAGTCCACGGGCGGCAAGGCTCCGCGTAAGCAGTTAGCTACCAAGGCGGCCCGCAAGAGCGCGCCGGCCACCGGCGGCGTCAAGAAGCCGCACCGCTACCGGCCCGGCACTGTCGCTCTCCGGGAAATCCGCCGCTACCAGAAGTCCACCGAGCTGCTGATCCGAAAGCTGCCGTTTCAGCGCCTGGTGCGCGAGATCGCGCAGGACTTCAAGACCGACCTGCGCTTCCAGAGCTCCGCGGTGATGGCGCTGCAGGAGGCCTGCGAGGCCTACCTGGTGGGGCTCTTCGAGGACACCAACCTGTGCGCCATCCACGCCAAGCGGGTGACTATCATGCCCAAGGACATCCAGCTCGCGCGCCGCATCCGCGGAGAGAGGGCATGAGTTGTACTAAGGGCGAGTGCCAACGTAAACCAAAGGCTCTTTTCAGAGCCGCCAACAGTTTCATTTGAATGAGCCGTAGCGCTGGGGAGTAAAGTCTACGGGGATGGACGGGTAGGCGGTGAGTGGAGGGTTAGGGGATGGCGGTTGGGCTTGCGGCTCCCAAACTAGGCTTTCTTCGGCGGAGAGCCGCAGCTCAACACTAATCCCTTAACTGCGGAAGCCTGAGGCGGTAGGATTACTTGCGGTAAGGATTTAAAGACTGGTCTGGCTACTGTGATGAAACCCCTGTCTTTAATTTAAGGGCCTGGTGGCGCCCTCTTCGAGTCCCTGCTGTTCCTGCAGCTGAGGCAGGAAAATCAGTTGAACTCGGGCGGCGAATGTTGCCTTAAGCCGACATCGCGCCAGTGTACTCTGGTTTGGGCGACAGCGAAACTCAGTCACCAAACAAACGAAAACGGTCGTGTGCTGGGGGAAAACCAAAACCAGGGAAAAAGTAAACAACCTGCGCACAAAAGTGTAGGAAAGCTTTGCAACAGTATGGGACTTAAGTCATTACCTTACATTTTGGTTTACCCTGAGGATTCATTTGAGACACATAAGCAGGAGAAACTGATAAAAGTCACGGGAGCCTTCCAAAGTAAAGCCCCAAGTTCCAGGTGGATCTGCACACTAAAATAATAAAATGGTACAGCAATAAACGAAATGTTCTAACATGGGGGGGTTCTTAGGCTAAAGTAGTTAAGGGGATGGCAACGTAACCAAGAATGTATGTATTAGTTTAATAAGCTTTGTACAGATTTTCCTCTGCCTCAACTTGCCTTCCTAGATAAGAATTATTCTGTGGTATACGGAGGACATCTTTTCACCGGGAAGTTGAACTCGCCTTAGAAACGAGTTCAAAGTATTTTTTTCTTGCCCCTGCTGTTTTTCACAGAATAGTCAATGCCAGCTTAGCGTTATTTTGAGGTGTTTTGTTCTGAACTCAAATAGAAACGTACAGGGAAAACGGCTCAGGAAAATTCTATTGCAACCTTTTTTTTTGGAGACAGTCTCCCTCTGTCGCCAGGCACCAGGCTGAAGTGCAGTGGTGCGATCTCGGCTCACTGCAACTTCCGCCTTCCGGGTTCAAGCAATTCTGCCTAAGCCTCCCTAGTAGCTGGGAATACAGGCGCGTGCCACCACGCCCAGCTAATTTTTGTATTTTTTAGTAGAGACGGGTTTTCATCATGTTGGCCAGGATGGTCTCAATCTATTGATCTCGTGATCCTCCCGCCTCGGCCTCCCAAACTCCTGGGATTACAGGTGTGAGCCACTGCACCTGGCCACTATTTTTTTTTTTTTTTTGGGAAACGGAGTTTTGCCCTTGTCGCCCAGCTTGGAGTGCAGTGGTGGGGTCTAAGCTCACTGCAACCTCCTCCTCTTTCCGGGTTCAAACATTGTCCTGCTTCAGCCTCCCAAGTAGCTGGGATTTTAGATGCCAACCACCATGCCCGGCTAATTTTTAGTAGAGATGGGGTTTCGCCATGTTGGCTAGGCTGCCCTCGAACTCCCGACCTCAAGTGATACCCCCTGCCTCCGCCTCCCACAGTGCTGGGATTACAGGCGTGAGCTACCGCGCCTGGTCGTAACTTTCTTTTTAATTTTTAGACCGAGTTTCACCTTTGTCACCCAGGCTGGAATGCAGTGGCGCGATGCAGTACCCAGGCTGTCTGCAACTCCCGCCTCCCAGGTTCAAGGGATTCTCCTGCCTCAGCCTCCCGAGTAGCTGGGACGACAGGCGTGCGACCTCTTGCAGTAGGCTCTTTTTTTTTGAGACCGAGTCTCACTCTGTCACCCAGGCTGGAGTGCAGTGGCACTAACTTGGCTCACTGCAACCTCTGCCTCGCAGGTTCCTGCAATTCTCCTGCCTCAGCCTCTCAAGTAGCTAGGACTACAGGCACGCAGCACCACACTTGGCTAATCTTTGTATTTTTAGTAGAAGTGGGGTTTCACCGAGTTGGCCAAGCTTGTCTTGAACCCCTGATCTCAAGTGAGGCCTGTGGTCCTCCAGCAGCCCAGGTGAGCCCAGGAGAACCCGGAGCCCAGGTGAGTGCCGGCGCTGTAGCCCCACCTGCCCGCACGCGCCTGGGCGTGGCTTCCGGAGCCGGGCGGCCCCCGTGACGCAGGCGCGCGCCTAACGGCTTTGCGGGGCTCGCCGGGTCGGAGAGGCCGGAGGCTGCGGGGGGCCCGGCTGGATGGCGGATTCCGGGCCAGAAAGCAGACTTGGGATCGCAGATGGGGGTTGGTCTGGGTGGGGGTGGGAGGAGCCGCGGCTCAGGAGCTGGTTGTTGGGGATCTCCGAAGTCTCCAGCCTGAAGAAGTTCCTCCGCTTCGGAGCCGGGGGCCAAGGCAGAGCGGAAGCTCAGGTCCCGGCTCCACAGACCCGGTCTACACCGCTTCCGGGCACCGAATCCGGGAGCGGAACCGCGGAGGACCCCCAGGCGGCTGTCAGGGGTGACGCCGCGGAGGAGGAGCTGCCTGGCGCGGGGAGCGGAGGCCTGGACGCCCGGGACAAGCCGCACAGGTAGCGGGGCCCACCCGGGTGGGAGGGTTCCCGAGGCCCGGCTTCCCCCTGGGACGGGGCCTTGGAGGGCGCCGGGCAGCCTCGGAGCCGCGGGGCCAAATGAGCCTCAGCTGCTTGATTGGTGGAGCCTGTGAGTGATTTAACTCACTAAGTCAGGTGTATAGTGTTGTTGTTTTTAACGTTCACCTTTAAAACATGGTGTGTTACACATTCCAGGAGGTCCCTACTGAGAGAACGCATTCCCTTATCGAAAATGCCGGGAAGTCATTTCCAGTAGGCGAAAATTTCTCAGACAAAACTGTCCGTTTTACATAGATTGGTTCTTTACTGAAGGGTTTAGAGGGAAGCTTGGAAGTGGGAGGTGGGTTTTGTGTTCTTGAATGAGAAGACACATTTTTCTCAAAATGTGAGCTCTTTCTGTGTGTATCAATTGTACGTAAACCGAATGAAAATATCAAGGTTTTAACATTTTTGCACGACACGTGCTTTTACTGTTGTGATGACGTTTTAAATTGTATAATGGACTGAAAAAATACTGGCTTCTCTAGATTTTAAAATGTGCTATTAATTTGTATAATTAATTGTTACTAACAGCTGAAAATACAGATAAATGCATGGAACAGAATAGAAAATCCAGAAACGCTGAAATGATACAAGATATATGTAAGGATTGATAATGTTCATATATATGAATAGAAAAGGATGAATTATTAATGAAAAAATGCCTGCTCTTTGAAGAAAATAAAGAAATTTTATATCACAAACATGGGTGACTGATGGAACACAGATCGAAACTTTTACATATGTAAGTGAGAAAAGTATCAGAAGGAAACACAAATGCTTATTTTACAGCTATGTTATGTTGACAAGGGCCTTCCTAAGAATGACCTCAGAGGCAGGCATTCTGAAGGTTCATTTAGCAAACTAAAAAAGAATTTAAGCTTTATCTCCCATCTTTCAAACAAAAGAATTTCCGAAGTAAGAAAATAGTAGAAGATAAACTTTAACTGCCTTTTCAAAAGTTTATCAGTCTTAAACACTAATATTAATCATTGGAAAGTCTGGTTAGCATATATTTTCTAAATATAAGTATTGAATAAAATGATCCATACCTATTCATTTGAATCATGAGTTTCCTTTGGCTTCAAGGTGTTTGAAAAATCAAAGAATTGATTTTTTTTGTTTGTTTCTTTTTTTTCTCTGGGGACGGAGTTTCGCTCTTGTTACCCAGGCTGGAGTACAATGGCACGATCTCAGCTCACTGCAACCTCTGCCTCCTGGGTTCAGGCAATTCTCCTGCCTCAGCCTCCCGAGTAGCTGGGACTACAGGTGAGCGCCACCATGCCCAGCTAATTTTTTGTATTTTTAGTAGAGATGGTCTCGATCTCTTGACCTCGTGATCCACCCGCCTCGGCCTCCCAAAGTGCTGGGATTATAGGCGTGAGCCACCGCACCCTGCCCAAGAATTAATTTGTTTAAAAAAATCTGTTACTGTTATTTCAGTGTTTTTTCTCCATACTACCTTTAAGGACTGAAATGTATTTAAGTGCCAGTTATAGCCCTAGAACTGCACTAGACCTGCTGAGTATACCATATGCTACTTAATGTAAGGACTTATGGATTGTGTGATGCCCCATTATTATATATGACGTTAAAATAATTTTTAAAGTGCTACCAATTATAGTTGTAATAAATCTTGAATTTTAAGTGACATTCAAATATCAGAGGTGTTAAAATGTGACCTAGTCTTTAAGTCATCCCACAAAGTAGGTTTAATTGAAGTAATTAAAAAATTTTACTTAATTAAAATTTTTTTGTTAAGTAGTAATAATAGAAATAATGCTAGAACTCTGGGAGGCTGAGGTGGGAGGATTGCTTGATGCCAGGAGTTTGAGACCAGCCTGAACAACAAAATGAGATTCTTATTCTACATAAAATTTTAAATTAGTAGCTGGGCATGCTGGTGCACATCTGTAGTCCCAGCTACTCAGGAGGCTGGGGATGGAGGATAGCTTGAGCCCAGGAGTTCCATGCTACAGTGAGGTATGATTACACCATCGCACTCCAGCCTGGGCAAAAGAGTGAGACCTTCTCTCCAAAAACAAAAATCTAGCAATTTTGAGTCGTTGCTGTAGGAACTATTTTAAATAGTTTACATAGTTTCTCATTAAGCATCATGATGTCCTGTGAGAGCTCTTATTGTTGTTTTTACTAATGAGGAAGTTGAGGCACAGAAAGGCTTATAGCTGGTAAATGACAGAGTTTAAAATAGGACTGAAACCTTAGTTGAACTGAATTCAAAGACTGAGCTCTTTCTATTCAAATAGGCTGCCGTTTTCATTAAGGTAGTGAGGAATAAGAGCTAGTAAGTATTGTACTTTCTTCAAGAAAAATAAGGAAGAGGAAAATCATGCAGTTCAATGTTTACATTTCCGTGAATGACTATGTTTTGAGATATCGCACTACAGGTTGCTAAAAGGTCCTCTTACTGTT